CCCTTTGAAGGTGGAGCAAAACCGGAAGCTGCCGCACGATGCTCTGGAAACCGCTGTCGATATTACCTAGGACGAAGTGGTGTGGAAAATCTAGAACATCAAGAGTGGCAGATGTTTTGACAGGGACGGCATGAAGCCGGAGCATCGTAAGTCACGAAGAATCATTCTGTTCTATGCCTTGGCTAAATCATTTACAGAGATTATGCTGAAGTAGACGCTAGAAGCCTGAAAGAGCTCTTCGACGATGCTTCTGTTCTGGAAAGTCGATGCTGAGAACCTCCAGAACTATCGAACCACCACTCTCCTGTCATCACTGTAAAATGCGTTTACCCGGATTATCCATAATCATCAAAAAACTCCAAAGCTGCTGTTGGGAAGGAACAAATCCGTGTCTGAACAGGGTTTCCATTAGGGAGCCACATCGACTAGTGAAGTAATTGACACAGAAGTGCAAGGAATACCAATTTTCCCTGGCACATGCATCTACTTCAGCAAAATGTTCGATTCCATCGAGCCCATCCAGATGAACGGTTTAGTAAACGCCCTATGCGACTCGGTATGAATTCTGTCTACGTCATCCTGATTGAGGAAGTGATTACCGACTCCGAAATGAATATAAAGCTGTTCCAGGAACTGTGCTGAATTAACATAAAGAAAGGAGTACGCCAAGAGGGCATCCAGTCACCTGAGCTTTGCCTAACGGCGAGGGAGCCATACTTCAAACGTTTGAACTGATACGGTGGCATTTGCATCCATCTGTTCTCTGCAGACGTCATCATCTTCTCCAAAGACCCATCAAAACCACAAGCAAATACTGTGCAGTTGTAGAATTAACCACGCGCCGTCGGTCTGCATTTGAAAATCCCCAAGACGAACTGGAAGCACAATAAGCACTGCCGCATGGTTACTATCTTCAGTGATGAAGAATATATTGAAAACGTCAACACATATGTATATTTGGCCATTTAAGAGACTCAAACAGCAACATCAACGGTGAGGCCAGAATAAGAAGGCAAATTGGCTAAGTTTCATTTACATCGAAACATCGTTGCTGGCTGACGAACTGCCAACGTCCACAAAGAAAGAACTGTTCGAATCCGGCATCCTCCAGTCATAACTTATGTCGTGAACTTCTGATCAGTCATCCAGTTTGAGTAAATGAAACTAGCAGCAGCTGAAATGGGATAGAAAGCAAGTTCTCCATTCAATACCGTGTTCTAAGTACGATCATATTTGGATGTACTCATTGGCGAGTTAGCTCGAAGGTGCCACCATCTGGCCATGCAGCACGTCTATACACTAGTGTTTCAGCATTCCGAACAAATAACTACATGCCCTTAAAGAAGAGGCCTCCATTAGATCATCCACCGACACTCTGTGACCATCCAGGTATCAATCCCATTGATCCACAGTATAGGTGAAGCACGCAACACAAAGAAGAGTGGCAGAATATCAACCGGGGTGGTGGGTGACGTAAACAGGTCAAATGCAAGGAATTCATAATTTGCTCTAACATCATTGCCCATATTGCATATTCCGGATGAATGGCAAACACATACAGTTACACTTACAGTCAGCACGCCCACGCTGAATTGTTAAATAAATTTTACTTTTAATCTTTCACTAAATTACATTGGCCATCCTCATGGCGAATAGGCATTGCCTCTCATGAAGCTGGCCAACAGTTCAAAGACCACAATATCCTAGTTGAATTTTTAGCATTCGTCCAATTCAAGAACGTACAAGATTAGCATGAGTTTTCATATGAGAGTAATCGTGAGATAGAATGAGAATAATTCGACAAGGTTTCCTTTGTTTGCCCCGAGAATCGCCAATGAAGTTGACTGAAATATTTGCAGCTGTGCTGAGTAAGGACTTCACCTTCCGTCTAATCCTCGTGTCTAAAACCATTGAAGCGACATTATTGTTGAACATGAAAACAGAACTGAAATGAATTTCAAATAACTTCGAAATCAAATAGCATATTTGTTTTTTATACCGTGCAATCAACCTTGGTTATAGCCTCATAG